GGGCATGGCGCTCTCTTTTCTATCCTGCTATAAATTATAGCCCAATGTTTGAGCTTCCTAATGAAAAAAGGTAAAATATACTACTGAGCACACAAAAGGAAAATATCCTCCGTTATAAAAAGCCAATAAAAATTACTGTGTAGGAGGGAAAACCATTCAGTGTCTATGCTCTTCAGTTCACCATTGTCTTGAAATGTCAGTAAGACCTTAAACTTTTTTCATTCTTTTACCAATTAAATAACAATTGCAGGGCACTGGGATTCCTAGTGTAGCTACTTTCCCTATTTTATTTGCAAGTTGTATACATTATCTAATGAAATGTTAAAAAATAGTTTTTGAACCCTGGCAGGGTGGGTCACTGGTTGGAGTATCATCTCGTGCACCAAAAGGCAGCAGGTTCGATTCCCAGTCAGGGCACATACCTAGACTGAAGGTTCCATCCCCAGTGGGGGTGAGTACAGGAGGCAACCAATCGACGTTTCTCTCCCTCTCTCGTGCTCTCTCTCTCTTCCTCTCCCTCTAAAATCAATGAACATATCCTCGGTGAGGATAAAATATATTTTTTTCTCTGAGTTTTGAAAATGTTCTGTAATATTATTGATAAATTCATAACTATATGATAGTATCTTTTATAATGTACATTGTTTACCTTTTCTTTTTCAAGAATGTACATAACTCCATTTGCCAGTGTAAGACATTCCATTTTATAGGTATAAAGAAGGAAAGAGGGAAAAGGAATTTCTTTCTTGTTACCAGTCAGATTCTTAGCAGCTGCCTCTTCTTGGATTTCTTCCACAAAGAAATTATTTTTCTACCTGTTAATTATCTTGCTAACTGTAGATACTTCACTCATAGTAAACAAAACCACACTTTGTATCTGAATCACTTTCCTTTGGATATTTGTTCAAGAGCTATGTGAGCCTTAAATTGTAATCGGGCTTCCATGGAATAGTCTTTGTAGTTTTTTATGTTTTCTAGGCTTTTTGTTGCTCTGCCATAATCTCCTTTCAGATAGTATAGAATTCCCAGTTCATAGTAAGCATACGGCACCAAATAGTGGTCATATTTTAACAATTTCTCATTTTGAATGACACGATTAAAGTACTGCTCAGCCATCAAATATTTGCCTAAGTATTTCATACATAGACCTTTCAGTAAATTTAGCAAACTGATGTCATCTATATTATGCCCTTTATTTGGATTTTCTCGTAAAAGGTCTTCTCCTTTGTTAATTATTGTTAGCCAGCATGAAATAAGGTGTAGTCTTTTGCTCATGACATGGAAACCACTCAAGGCATAAATGAATTCCAGAATGGGCTGTGCTATAAACCAGTTTGTCGTAGCACCATAGCGCTGACCCTTCTCGGCAAGAAACTTTTCTATTGGCACAGAAGTTCCTAAAAATCTGATTCTCAGGCCTTCTACATTTAAGAAGAGAGAGCTTATATCCTCATTTGCTGATTTAGCAAATCCAGAAGGAAGCAAAGCCAGTAGCATAGCTTTACTGTATGAATAAATTGACTTGGACCACTTGCTGTCTTGAAATAGCAGAGCAGCATAGTGGTATGCCTTCTTCCAATCCTGCACGAAAATATGGCACCACATGAGTTCCCAGTAACAGAGGTGATTAAGTTGCTTCCATTCATGCTGAATAATAATGCAGCCCTGTAATGTTAACTGTGCATTTTCAAATCTTCCTTTCAGCATACTGAAACGTGCATGAAAAAATTTAAGTATGACACACTTTGGAAATTTATGGAGATAGATTAGGAAGAGGTTCTCTACAGTAGAACTGTGACCTGTTTCAACACCAAAAACTACGCAGATATAATTGTAATAGAAGAGTAGAGTCAGAATACTTAAGACATTATTTATATGGGATTCAGATGCACTCTCATGAAGCAAAGTCAAGCCTACCTCTTTATCACCATAATATCCAACAAAATTGAGTAACTTAAGTGTCTTTGGTGGCATAAGTGATAACATCAAATTGAATGCTCCGAGTCCAAATTTTACTCCACCAACCAGGTGTCTGGAGGTTTTGCTTTGGTTGGTAGATATGTGTGTTAATATTTGTTGACAGTCTTTGTATATTTGGTAACTTAACCCAACATTGATCCCACTTTTAAGAAAACCAAGTAGACTGTCATCCTGTATGAATATTACAGCGGATTTCAAGATCAAACTCTCAGCATAGCAGATTTCAGCATGCAATTCCTCTTCCTTGACAGCCTTTATTCCCTGTTTACTCACTAGACGAGAAAAACTTGACATCCTGCCTTTTCTTCGGAAATTGTTACAGGTTTTCAAAGCGTCCTTTGCAGCAGTCATTCCAATCTCTATATCCTGTGGATCAAATGTCAAGATGGCTTTGACAACCATAAGGATACCATAAACTACAGCATGGTATATACTGTTTTTCGACCATGGGTAAATGAGGTTTATGGCATCTGAGAATCTGTTATTTAGAAATAAATACAACCCAGTTGTGCATTCTTCCAAGGAAGACATTAGATTCATTGTTGTTGCCACGGGGATGATTTCATAGGCGTCTTCAAACTTGTCCTCGTTATCATTTTCTTTATTCCATGAAGTAAATGATGCAACATTTTTCTTATCATTTTCTCTTTTTTTTAGAATAAGTGACATATTCACTTCCTCACTTTAGAGAGGGGAAATATTTGCACTGGAGTGATGTGGCTGCAGTGAGGGTAGCTCCTGTCCTCCTGACCGGATCACTTCTTCCACAGCCTGAGGTGTTGATGTTATAATGGAGGCAAACTAACTAAGAGCTCTAGGTGTAGCATTAGGATATTCTCATCTAGATCAGACAAAGGGGGAAAAAGATAATGTTATTTACCTCAAAGATGTATTTCTGAATAATTCACATCATTTGGAATATACTAAAGAAGGCAGGTTCTTTTAAAACATTGTGAAGTAGAAAGGTGGCGGCGGACTGAGTGGAAGCTACACTAACACTCTCCAGGGACCAAACTGGAATACAACTAAAATACAGAAAGCCCATCCTGAATAATCAACTGCAACTGAAGACAAGCTGGAGAGCACCCTCATAACCAAGGAGGAAAAGTGGAGACCGCATAGAGACTGGTAGGAAGTGCAGAGGCGAGAGGGCTGGCTGGGCTCTCACAGGCAGCAGCTGAAGGTCTGGAGGGAGATCTCAGCTGGGGGCCGG